CTCCCGGGGAGCAGCTCAGACTGGTACCTGGGCAGGCAGGCATGCGAGGCTCAGCCACAACCCTTGGGCCCGCTGCTTTCTGCCCCTGCCTTCGTCCAGGACCCGGCTCCGACTCTAGGCCCATGTCTGGGAGGCGCTCCCAGGCCAGGACCAAAATCTCTTCTCCAGAGCAACATGAAGTCCTGTGGGCAGGCACGGTGTCCATGCAGGGCCAGAGGCCTCCCGGAGCCCCACACAAGTGTCCTGCAAACCAGCTGTCCTTTCCTTGGGGCAGTTGTCACCGACTACAAAGACTAGGGCCGCCCACCACACTGTGCTCTGTCTGAGTCCACGGACCCTGCGTCTCATGGGCCACAGCATCATGCAGCTGGTGGCCAGCAGCCCCTCGTGGACAAAGGCCGAGGGCTAACCAAGGGGTTGCACCTTGCCTTGACCTACAACCTGGGCTCTGCTCTGAGGAGCCCACACTTCACAACCCACTCCATCCAGTTTCAGGGTCACTGAGCTCCATCAGCAACTGCAGCCGACCCTCAGGTAGCTGAGCAGTTGCCCCTGGCAGATAGAGGGGCCCTCAGCCACCTTCACTCTTGTCCCCCAACACCACAGGGCAATCCTGGACCAGTAGTGACTGCTGGCCTGCCGGACACTGACCATGGTCACCTCAGGCTTATACATCGACAGGGCCTCCCTGTCACCCAGCAGCAGCACTGTAACCAACAGAGGCCACAGACAGTGAGACAGCAACACACTAATCTCACTAAGCCTTTTAATTTATTTTAATTGGTGTAATTAGCTAATATGTTAATGCTCTTCCCTCTGCAGACAGCTCACCGTCCCCATGGTTCGGTGCAGAGAAGAAAGCTCCGCAAGTCACCTGGCAGTTGGGGGGCCTGGACACTGCTCCTCTCGGGGCTTCACCCAGCCCCACAGAGCTCCTGCCCTTCTTGGCCCAGCACCTGCCATGGCCCCCAGCCCCTCCACAGTCACCCTTAGCTCAGGATCCCTTCCGGGGGCTGCACAAGGGCCCTGCAAGCCCCTGTCACAGGCAGAAGGCCAGGCTCAGGTGCAAACGCTAAGACACCACAGCCTCCCTAGGTGGACAAAGGAAACAGGAACCTTCAGCAGCCAGGCAGCCTGCAGGGCCGAATGTCCCATCCTGGCAGCGGCTTAGGGCCACACCCCAGCGACAGTGCAGCTTGCTTCCTAAATGCTGACTGTGTGACCACACATGGTGACTGTGTGGCCCCGGGCTGTGCTGCCAGCGGGGTCACAGGGTGACAGGAAGAAGCCATCCTGCAGCCAAGGAGCCACTGGGCCAGGTCAGAGGTTACAGTGCCCATCCTCTAGTGCTTTGGGACCTGACACTCCAAGTGCGCTTGACAGGATTACATTGTATTCTAGAGCTTGACACCACAAACGAAAATAGTAATTCCATTAGTTGTTGAAAATGGTAATCATTCTGTCGAGCATGGATTTTACTGCCATGGTAACTGCGAGGCCCAGAGATGACTAATAAAAGGCACTGCCTGTTCTGCAGGTCGGCTGCCAGTGTGCCCCCAAAGTGGTAAGTCCATCAGTAGTTAAGTGCTGTAACAGTGCCCCAGCAAGGGCTTTATCGCTGTACCTGTAAAACCCGAGGTTGCTGAGTAACTATTGGCCAGGAGGAGGCAGTAACTCAGCAGTGCCATGGGGACTGAACAGAGACCTGCAGCTGCTCCAGCTCAGGCAGTCCCAGAAACACAGAAGTGGTGTCGCCGAGCCCGTGGGCTCAGGCAGGGGCCTCTTCTGCTTCCAGCTCCCTGTGGCAAAGAAAAACGCTTGGAAATGGGAGGGCAGCAGTCTGCCCACCATCTAACCTGCAGCTCCACACATGTCCCCTGGCAGGGGAGTGGCAGGAGGCTGGAGGAGTAGGGCCGGGATCTCCGGAGAAGCTGGCGAGCACAACGCCGCCGAGTGAGCACAACAGACCACCTCCGCGCACACTCCTCCTTTGCCTGCGATGGCCCCACAGCCCCCTGATCAATCTCTTTCCCACCGGGGATGCTCCCTTCTGCCACCCCCTGCATCCCCGAGCCCTTGGTTATAAGGCTTCAGCAGCTGGACCCACAGGACCAGAACCTGGGGGCGAAGCGAGAGCAGGGCCAGCTCACCCTTGAGCTCTAAACCTGTGTGCACTGGAGCTGCCAAGACCAGGAGAGAAGTCTGGGCACAGGAGTGGGGGAAGCCACAGCAGTGGGTCAGGGCTCGGGCGTGCACGAGGAAGGGACAAGTATGTGCTGCAGGAAAGGAGCCAGGCTCCAGAATACCCAGTGGCCTTAGCACCACGGAGAACACTGGCCGCACCAAGGAGGCTGCCAACTGGGACAGTGGCGGGAGAGGCCCAGTGTGAGGCCCAGGGAGCCTCTGGACAGCCTGGGCAGCACAGAGGACAAGGTGCAAGGAAGGACCTCAACACAAAGATCCAAGAGCACAAAGCACAGGTGCAGAGAAAAAGGAAGCGGAGAAAGCAGAGCTGGCTCAGCGCAGCCCACAAGGCACCCCTCAGAGTGTGTGATGCCACATGGCCCAGAGCTCACACATGGGAAACAGGGCCTGGGCCAGGCGGTGGCCGTGGGGGCAGCCGGTCCGATCCTCAAGGAGCCATGTCCTGGGGGCAAGAGTTCATCCCCATGAGAACCACTCTCTTCCCTTAATTCTCTGTCCATCCTCTGCCACCTCCCACAACACAGCCTCTTGGTCAAATGTCAGCCCCAAGACTGAGACCATTTTCTCTCCTCACGGTGATCTGGTCACAGCAGCACAGACAGCCTGAGACGGGCATACACAGGACATGCTGCCCACCAGAGCACATGCCTGCTGGCTTCCCCAGGCCAGGGCCAACTCTGCAGAGCTCTGGGCTTGGAGTGACAGGTGCAGAGCACAGGGTGCCAGTCTGAAGTCTGCTGCTCCACAGAGAGCCAAGACATGGAGCCACAATCACAGGGCAGGGAGAGCACTGGGGACAGCAGCCTGGATGGGCCCTTGCACCCATGAACACCCTACACTGGGCCCCACAGACCAGCCTGGCTCAGTCTGCTGCTGCCCCCTGAGGGCTCCCTCACCCACAGCCTGGAAGCCCTAGAGTCTGTGGATTCCCCAGGGCCCAGAACCCTGCTGCCAATGAGCCTGACAGCTCTAAACTAAGTTCACTATCTCTGCCATGCCTTGTTCCACCACAGATTGGAGGTAATGTTCCAACATGGACAAGAGGCCACAAGGCACAACGACCTGGCCACACAGGCTGTAGATGAGGCCGACAGAAGGCACAAGAGGGGGAAGATGGGTCCAGTAGTGGAGGCTGCACAGGCCCAGCCACTGTCCCCAGCAGGGCACAGGAGTGGCTCCGGCTTCATCACAGCCAACACAAGGTCTCACCTCGCACAGGCAGGTGAACGGGTGGGACAGAGGCCATTGCCATTAGCAGCTCTGCCAGCCAGGTTTGCTGCCTGCTTGCTCCACACTCTGCACAAGCTCCGGTGTGTAGCAGGGCTGGGCGCAGGATCTCCCTGCCCCAGTGGCTCAGACCTGGAGGCTCAGGCCCTGCAGGGCACTGTGTCCTCTTCCCAAGCAAGCGCCCTGCACTCTGGGGAAGCCAGCACAGCAAGTGCTTCTGGGCCGGGCCCTCTGCCAACACCCCCCCACCTCAGCTGCAGCACTGCCTCGAAATGTGTGTGCCCTCCACTGCACTTCCTGCCACCCTTACTGAGCGGCCACCACATGCTGGCCAGCCTTGCTGTGTGGTGCCATCCAACCCTCAGGCACCCTCCTGAAGGAGGAGGACCAACCCTGCCATGAAGAGAGGCCCGTCAGCTTACACAGCCAGGAGAGCAGAAGTGACTTGTGCCAGATCCGCCCCAGCCTAGGACCACGGCTTTGCGCTAGGGACCGTGGAGCTGAGCACCAGGCCCGAGAGTCAGACTGCTAGGGACCCCACTGCAGGCAGACATCCCAGCACAAGACGCCCAGGCCGGGGAACAGAGCGGCAGCCTGCCCTCTCAGGTGCAGCGTCCCCATGAGCAGCTTCCCGATGCTCGTCCTCACTGTCCAGATTGCACTGAGCCGTGTTACACTGGTGCAGGCCGTGCACTGCACACCCACAGAGAGCCCCCTCAGCTGCAGCGCGGATCCACCTTCTCCCCAACTGCACAGCTGCAGGGCCACAAGTGTGCCTGGCACAACACAGGCTGTGCTGACTGCGCTTGCCACCTCATCTGGGCTGCGCACTACCCAGCCACTCAAGGACCACAAAGCGCAACATACGGTTCCTTAAGGGCTGCCATCAACCCCGGCTCAGGCTGGGGCAGGTGGCACCAAGGCCAGGTCCCAACACAAAGTGGTGGGCAGAGAGGATGAGGTAGGGACAGAGCAGGAGGGTGGGAGGACCCACACCAAGAGGCTGACTCAGGCTGTGGCCCTGGGGCTGCCCAGACCCACACCTACTGGCACCATGGGTGGGCCAGCGGCTAGGGTGCCTGTCTGTCCTCCTCCTGAGTGTGAAAGGCCATAAAACAATTAGAGCCCGGTGCCCTCTGCAATCGGCTGATAAGGGTCCCGCAGCTGTGGAGGAGATAGACACCATAAACAGGGTCACCGAGCGGGCACAGGGTGAGAAAGCCAAGGGGTGCAGCCGCCCAGAACTCCAACCTGGGCAGGGGTCCATATCCCATAGACCTGAAGAGGGGGCTCTGCTGATACCAGGGTTCACCCACTCGTGTCCAGCCCGGAAACCTCCATCCCACACTGAGCCCAGCCCTCCCAGGGCCTGAGGCCATGCCCCTGCCCCACCACATCCACCCAGCCACAGGGACCTTGGCCATGCCAGCCCTGGCCACCAGCATGTAGCCTCAGGAGCACACAGAGGAGAGGGCTGTGCCTTCTCCTCAGCCCTTTCCAGACGCAGCTCTGTTCTCAAAAGAGAAGGCTCCTCGCAGTGGGATGACACCACTGCCCAAGCGGGCGACATGGGCTCTGCTGACTTCAAAAGCAAGAAGCCCAAACCAGCTACAGCTGGGGCTGCCGGGCAGGCAGGCAGGCAAGGCTACACCTTCACCCTCAAGGTGCGGTGCACCCAGCACAGCTGAGAGCTGTCGTGCCTCTCCCCATCCAGCATGTTCCTAGCTATCACTGCCACCTCCTGGCCACTGGGGTCCTCCAGGGCTGACGTGGCTGTCCTGGCTCCCCTGTTCTGCACGTGGGACTCTCCAGAGGTCCCTTCCTACTGGAAGGGAGGGAGGGAAGGAAGGAAGAGAAGAAAGCAAAGGAAGGAGGGAAAGAGGGTGGGAAGGGAAGGGAAGGAAAGGGCCTGTGGGCTCTGGCATCTGACGTGGGACCCCAGGCAGTTCCCACCCAGCAACCCCCTCCGTAACAAGTGACCTCAGCTCCCCATCCCATGTGCTCTTCTCTCGTGGAGTGGAGCTGCGCTCCAAACCAAGCTCCTTGAGGGGATGCCGTGGACAGAGTCAGCGTGGCAGCAAGGACATGGTTGGTAAGCCTGGGGCTGGGACACAGGCTTGGGCAGGAGTGTGGTTGCCCCCCAGCATGTCCCCAAGGTCATGGGAGCTACAGGGTATCTGCAGCAGAACTTCTGCCTGTGAGATCTGCTCCAGACATGGCGCATCCAGCCCTGGGCAATCTGCTGCCATTTCCTTCCCAGCAGAGTGACCGTGGTCCTGTCCACCACAGAAAGGCATGCTCACTCAATCCCACACTGCTGGCCTAGTCGGCCCTGCACATCTGCTGGTCAGCCCTACATGGAAGGACTGTTCCTGTGAGCACACACATGCCTGGCTTCCAACGGTGCCTAGCTGCACTCGGACCTGAGGTGGACAATGGAAGCACCACTGTGCCTGGGGCAGCACCTGGTGGCCACCGTTGGAGGCCCTCCTCTCATCAGGAGCAGGTGTAAGATGGGGCTCTGACCTCTGAACCTACTCGCCCACTGCCCCCCATGCCTCAACCATGGTGTCCTCCCATGCAGCACCCAGTGTCATCCTGGTCCTTGCTTGCTCCTGGTCCCCCTGCAAGGTCTCGAGATCCCTAAGGAGCCCAGGTTCTGCAGGAACAGGCAGATAACCAGGCCAGGGGTCCCCCCCAGGTGCCTGCTTTGAGGGCTACAATGTGCGCTGGTGCACTGGTGCCACCACAGAGGAAAGCAAAGTGGTTTTTATAGGATGTGACCTTGAACCCAGGAGGGGGTGGTCACTCGAGAAGAGGGAGTCCATCAGCACCAAAGTGTCCCTGGTGCCGGGTCTTGGTTCAGACTTCGAGAAGCAGGCAGCAGGGAGGGGGGAGGGGCAGTGCCCCCAGCAGGCAGGAGCTCAGAGACACTGGGGAGGTCTCTGGGATGGCGGAGGAGTGAGGAGACACTGGGGCAGCAAGACAGAGCCCTTTGGCCCAAGTGCCAGGCTCCTGACACTGTGGAACAAGCCCACTGGCACACCAAGGGCCACCTGACGCCATGCCCATGTGATGGACAAAGCCATGCCCACTACTATACCTTCTCTCTGTCCCTCCAAGGGGTGTCTAGGCCACCCGAGGGACGCCAAGGGCTCCCAGGAGTAACAACTGCTTCTGTGAACAGCATTCTGGCCTCCACATACCCCATAAGCAGCCCTGACCACACAGCGCCACACTTCAAAATGATCACTTGGAGCAAGAAGGACAAGGACGGGAGCAACTGATCAGACGCTGGTGCACAGGACCCCAGTGGTGGGTAACGCTCTCCCCAAGGCCAGAGGAAAGCATTATAGACATGGTCACCCTAAAGAAGCAAAGAGACAGTGGTCGTTACTGGAGCCACAAAGCCCCAGGGAAACAGAGCACCGGAGGGCCCCGGGTGCTGAGGACGCCACCCTCGCTGGCTGTACTTGGGCGCTGCAGGAAGGGTCCTACCACTTGGGAAGGCCACCCCCAGCAGGGTGATCCCAGCCCAAGCATGGGGTCAAACCAAGCACCCCTGTGTCAGGACAATCTCTGCGAGCTAAGCAGCCCAGCATGGGAGACACAAGAAGCACAGGCACATGGGCAGGGACGGAGCCATGAGGCAATGTCTACAGCCACAGGAGAGCTGGGAGTTGGGCCAGCTCCGAGAGGGTGGGCGGGCCTCTGTCCATGGTGCCCTCGCACACGCTGCCCTCACCCTGGACCTCTGTCTCTCCACTCAACTCAGACTGGCGGTGTCTGACTCACTGTGACGGGCTGTGGTGGGCTGTGGGTGTGTGCTGACACATCTGCACCACTGGCCTCAGGGCATGGGAGGAAGTGTGAATTGCAGGCTCTGGTGCTGACTTTGGCCACTCTCTGCCCACAGACAGCTGAGCTGGAGACCAGAGAGGAAGATACAGGTCTCACCGAGAAAAAAGCACATGCATAGCTGTGGGGAGCCATGGACAGCGGGCAGTGGATGGGCAGTGGGCCATGGGGGTGGGGTGGGCACTGCATGGGGCAGGCTGGATCGCTCAACTTACAACCCTCCTGCTCCAGCCTACCTGAGTGCTAGGATCACAGATGTATGTCACCACAGCTGGCCACGGGTCATCTTGCAGAGGTGCAGTGGGGTGGTATTAGCACTCCATGTGGCCAGGATCATGGGAGTGGACGCCACTCTCTGACATTTAAAGGACAGTGTGGATGGAGCCAGAGTGGTCCTGCTTAACAAATGCCATAGTGGGCATCTGGAATGCCAGGAAAGAAATGTGGCAGACCCACACCCAGCTCCTGCCAGCTGTGCTGTGAACTCAGTCCTCTCCTGACCGAGGCAACTGAGCTGCTGGTGTGAAGGGAGCGCGAAACCTGCATCTTCACTCAAGCATCACTGCGTCAGTGTCAGCGCGGGTACACCTGCCGAGCCCCTCTCTGTCCCCTACTTCAGCCCTGCCCCCAGTGGGAGGAGCTTCCTCACCCACCTAAGTGGAGCAGGTACACAGCCCTCGCAGGAGTCCCAAAGCAGCCCAGGTGCCTCCAGCTGCTGGGAGTCTAATTAGACCAAAACCCCAGTGAGGCTGCGAAAGGGGCTGTGCTCCTTATGAGGAAGGTGCATTGGCCAGGGCAGAGGCAGCAGAGACCGCCCACCCAGACTGCGGTGCTGGTGCCGCCTGCCCTGTCCATGGTGCCTGCGCCCCAGGCGCTGCTCCCTCCCATCCCTGTCCCTCTCCTCCTTCCCCAGTACATCACTGGCCCAGCCATCAGAACCTCCCTCCTGCACTGGCTGGAAAGCCTGGTGGCCAGCTGATCTCCCCACGGCACACACTAAGAACTAATAGGCACTTGAAACAGGCGTAGCCCCTAAGTAATGGTGCACTGTTCAGTCTCCTTAGCCACATTACTGATATTTTCTTTCGACTCCAGAGCTGGCAGGGTCACCTTTATGTAAGGGGAGAGAAGTGGCCTAAGTGTGGAAATGTGAGCTGGGACACTGGGCAAGGACCCCTCCTGCACACAGTCCAGGCACCCTCGGGCCAGGCACCCAGCCAATCTCTCATCCGCACAAAGAAACAAAACCTTGGTCTGCACCGAGGACTCAGGATACAGAGCTCAGCCTGCATCAAACTCACTGTGTGTGACCTATGAGACTACACTGTGCATATGTCCCCAGCCCTGCCCTCTGTGCCCTCTTCCAGGGCCTGCGCTCCTGCAGCAGAGAGTGGGACAGGTCCCTGGGCCCCAAGGCCCTGGCTCTCTCCACTTGGCGCCTCTCTGGCTCCCTCTGGAAGCTGTCCTTCACAACTGCAGGCCTGTGTCTGAGCCTGGCCCCACTTGCCCCGTGGTCCAGGGTGCTTCTCCCTCCTGCACCTGGCTCCCAGGGACTACAGAGGCTGGGCCACCCTGAGCACCTCGCGGTGTGCTTCGTCCACGGAGCCTGACCGGACACAGGGAGGCATCCATACCACATCCCCAACCTGCCCCACCCACCTCCTCCAGGAGGCTCCCCACAGCCACAGCCGCATAGCTGGGCCCCTCCCTCGCATCTCCCCACTCCGCTCGCTCCTCCTCTCCTCTTTGGGCTGTGCTCTCCCTCGCCCCTCCTCCCTGCTTCTCCCCTCTGCCCCTCAGCTGAGAGCCTCGTCCACAGCACGATGCCTTGTCCTGAGAGCTCGCTCCATGCTGTCCAGGATGACTCCAGCTCTTCAGGGAGGGTGTGGATGTGAGGAGTCCCCTGTAGAGTCAAGCAGAGGAAGCACCTCTGGCACTGTTTGTTCACAGACGTTCATGCAGATGAGATATGACAAAATCAAATGAATAAATAATTCAACTCCCTGAGGGGAAAGGGACACCCTCCTGCCAAGTGGAGCATAGAGTGCGGCGTGAGAACATGAGAAATAAGAATAAAGGAATCTTAAGTTTTTCTGTGCCTTTATGTCAATTTACTACATTGTTTTTTAAAGGACTGCAATAAAAATTGCCTTAAGGCAGAGGACATCACAATCCCAGACTTGAAATTATACAACAAAGCTACCATGATAAAAACAGCATGGTACTGGGGGGAAAAACAGACCCAAGGAGCAATGGAACAGATTGGAAGATGCAGAAATAAGAGCCAGTGAGATAGCTCAGCAGACTAAGCACCTGTTTAGGCAAGCACAGGGACCAGGGTTCGATCCCTAGCACCACATGCCACACTGACCCCACCCCCAGGCATGCTGAGCGAGCCACCAAGAGTGGGCATGATGGTGCATGCATGTAATATTAGCGATAAGGAAGCTGAAAACAGGAGGATCACTATGAGTTCAACCTGCATAGTGAGACCCTGTGCCAAATACATTGAAGGAGGAGGAGGAGATGGAGGAGGAGGAGATGGAGGAGGAGGAGGAGATGAAGGAGAAGATGGAGGAGGAAGAGATGGAGGAGGAAGAGAAGATGGAGGAGGAGGAGGTGGAGAAGGAGATGGAGGAAGAGGAGTTGGAGAAGGAGGAGGAGATGGAGGAGGAGATGGAGGAGGAGGAGATGGAGAAAGAGGAGGAGATGGAGGAGGAGATGGAGGAGGAGGAGATGGAGAAAGAGGAGGAGATGGAGGAGGAGGAGGAGATGAAGGAGAAGATGGAGGAGGAAGAGATGGAGGAGGAAGAAAAGATGGAGGAGGAGGAGGAGGTGGAGAAGGAGATGGAGGAAGAGGAGTTGGAGAAGGAGGAGGAGATGGAGGAGGAGGAGATGGAGAAGGAGGAGGAGATGGAGAAGGAGGAGAAGATGGAGGAGGAGATGGAGGAGATGGAGAAAGAGGAGGAGATGGAGGAGGAGGAGATGGAGGAGATGAAGGAGGAGGAGATGGAGAAAGAGGAGGAGATGGAGGAGGTGGAGATGGAGAAGGAGGAGGAGATGGAGGAGGAGATGGAGAAAGAGGAGATGGAGAAAGAGGAGGAGATGGAGGAGGAGGAGATGGAGGAGA